CCCCAAAACCCCAAAACCCCAAAACCCCTATTCCTTTCTTAGAAGTTGAAATGTGTAATTATCATATTTTCTGGTTATTAAGATTCTTAATCTCTTCAATTTCTACTTTCAGATAGTTTAATTTGTTCATAAAATATCTGCATTATTAGAATAAGAATCTTACTTGTAGTTATTTCCGAAAGCACTGTTATAAAACTTTGAGATGTAATCGGACAGCTGTTTCAGATTCATTCTATCCATGTTCTGCAAGAAGTCGAGAATAACTCCAATAGCTTCTCTTGCATCTTTGATCCTACAAATGTTCTTGTACAGCAAGTTTTTAGTCAAGTCTCTGAAGTAGTCAATGTCCTTATTTCTGATTCTTGATGATGTCTTCAAATGACTTTAATGAAGCAGAATGAGTATGGATTTGGGACGCCTCAACTTCTGTCTTAAAAATGTTGGTGTTGTTAATCTCATATGACTTTCATCTACTCTCTTGTCGGTCGTCGTTTGCCTGACAATTCTGGATGTTGAACTTCATCGAGTCATTTCTAAACATCTTCGTCTGTTTAACTGGAGAATCTGGGCCAACCAGAACCTCATCATTCTCTGAGTTCATTGCAGTGAAAATGTTGCTGGTCTCTTTGCGGGACTGGGAGGGATAAGGAGAGAACTTGCTCTTTTCTTTTTCACTTCTGTTCTCATTATCATATCCATGTACACAAGCCTGAACTAACTTATGGTCTTTTCTTGGCGTTTTCTTGTCAAGTAGTTTCTGTGAAAGTTCACTGTTTTCATTCTTAACACTATGAAACTTTGAAGATAGCTCGTCTATTAGTTTACTAGCATCCATTAATTTCTTGATCAAAGCTATTTTCTCATTGGAAAGAGCCTTGATATCCTTTTCTTTGGCTTTAAGTTCATTTTCAGATCTGAAGAGTTTAATTCGAAGTTTGCTGATCTCAGAAAGAGCTTTTTCGTTTTGCCTGCTCGTAGTGTGACTTAGATTTGTTCAATCCTACAGATCAACAGATTTTCTTACTTTTGAACCTTTTTTAGCTATTGTAAAAGATTGTGTTCTACTAACTCTCCAATTCTCAGAGAGCAAGTTGCTTCTATCGAATTAGATTAATTTATACCTTGATCGAGGGGGGTAAGTTCTCCTGACTAATGGACTATCCATTTCACTTGGATTTATTAAGGCAGCTATGCTATAAACACTTTGGAGATTACTTTGGTTTTGTGGGTTAGTTCAAAGATTTTTCGTTCCAAAATTAGAGGTAAATTTTGATTCCTCGCTTAATTCATTGTATCTCATTGGAGAGGGACTTGTTCTAACAACATCTGAAAATATGCTGCTTGAGGATACATTGGGGCCATAAGTTCAGTCCCAAGTCTTATATCGTTGAAGCTCATCTCAGCTTTTGTTTCTTAGTAAGGTACTTTTTGACCTCATCTTCTTTATTTCTTTAGAAGCATCAGCTAAAGAATTGCTCAAAGTATTAAGATTCAAATAAAGCATCACATATTTAAAACTTTGTGAGAGATTGTCTATCTGGTTGACTATTTCAGCTTCTATATTGATAAACCAAATGTCTTACTAAGAATTTCAACATTAGATTGCTTTTCGTGATCTATTTGCGTGTAAATCTGATTATTCTTAACATAAAATGTTTCAAAAGTTTCATCGTTCATCTTCTTCCTACGTTTTAACTCATTTCCCTTACTTGTGATTAGACTCTGAGGCGCTACTTTGATCACAAGCATCAAATTCAGTGAATTCAACACAAGCTGATTTCAAATGGGCAAAATTTGAATTCAATGGAATTTTAAGCACCTCTTTAGTCTGCTTTCGGTAAGTTAAATTAGAATAATCTGAATCATGTTCGTTGGTTTTATCTAGAATAATTACTTTGACTCACATTGGAAGTTCTGCTTTGGTCAATCTACTTGGCCATAATCACAGGTATATCTGCCATCTGAGCTCTCGAGTAGATGCTTCTTGTACCTATAACTTTCTCAATTCTCATCTATAGATCGATCTCCAAAGTTCTCAGTATTCTTATGTTTGTTATTAGGAGAGTTCGTATTTACACGGTACTCTCTATAAAGATTTTCTTTGTCCCTCCTATTTTGAAGAAAGGCAGTTTCTTGCTTCCCAGAAAGGTTTTTAGTGAAAATTTTTGAAAATTTATCCACATTCTCTTTGAGAGCATTGATGATTTCTGGATAAGAGTTTATCACACTCTTCATTTCGAGCTCTAAAGTTGAGTGAATTCCTTACCGTTAAGATCCATTTTTAAATATATTTCAGTTTCCCAAATGCCCACGGGGTTTTGGGGTTTTGGGGTTTTGGGGTTTTGGGGTTTTGGGG